TCCCGTTTTGTGATTTATAAGTAAAATTATCTGGTGTTTCACGATGATCTTTACGCAACAAGAATTTAAAAATTAGCGAAATGGATTAGTCACATATTAATTTACTCACGTTCCATGATTCTTTAGTGCAAAGTTGAATGTCAAATCGAGAAGTTTCAGTTGGAACCCAGGAGCAGCTGTCGATAAGCAGCTCCGAATTTTCTCAGCCATCTTTGCTCTCAAAGAATTGACGCATTTTTCGGCTTTTATCAAATCGCTACTGCTCTTTCCAAACACACTGCGTAGATTTCTGTGCACCCGTTTGCCAAAAGATTCGCAATGGTTACTGAAATGAAAATATAAATATGAGAATTAAAATATACAGTGCCGAACATAAATAGAAAGACTAGGCAGTGCTGAATATTTAAAACATTTCGGAATCGATTTTGTTTCTATTAATATTAATTTGGGAATTGAAAGTTGAGAACGGCCAACGGCTAACGTCCTTCCAACTTTTCATTGCACTATGAAGTATGTGTAACAGGCTTGCTACCTTGTTGCCAATTCTTCGATCAACTACGTATTGGAATGGAATGAACTTGGACATTACAAAGCAACAACCAATATTTTACAATCTGTTGAAATAAAGACCTAGAAGTGGTTTTGAGTTCAGGTACCGTACCTGAGACGGCAGTTGTCCACCATTTGCCAAAAACGCCCATAAAATGCTGAATGTAACCTCATACAGTGTTCCAGTGCTCTGAATGCGTTGACCTGGATGAAGGCTAGGTTTTCAAGTTCACGAAGGTTTTCATCCTGAATGGACTGCTGAACGAAGAGAATAGGTTAGATGACAGATACCAGCAAGTATCCCCAATCGTCAGATGAGTTCTTATTCGTAATTCTTTGTTTTTAAAAGAGAAAACATTTCACCATGAGTTTGCAGAGAGAACCATAAATAGTGACCCAGTCCGTAACTCCCAGTTCTTTGTCAAAGAATCATTTTGGTAGAAGGAAGTACTTGATTAACATTGGACAGTTCATGAACAACAGCAAATGCAAGGGTAAGCGACCCCTTGAGCAGTCGAACCGAGTTATGTATATTTGATAACATTAGTGAATAATAATTTATCATTTTTACAGCACTGAAATCATGGAACGACAAATAACGCAACAGAAAGTTAAATGATTAGCAGTTCAACGACAGTCTA